GGCTCTTTGTTATTTTCAATAAACTGTGAGAGGTCCACTGCAGGCACTGGTCTCTCCAACACTAGAATTTGTTCCTGGTTGAAGTCATACCAGTCCAGGAGGGAAATTGGGGCTGACTTCCCCACCGAATCAGCTGATTCTGTCTGGAGTTTTAGCATGGCGGCTACCTCAATGCTGAGCTGCTGGCCGTTCTCGTCCGTATCTGTCCAGACTACATTTTCCTTTGGTATATGTTTGATTGCCACAGGTAAATTGTCTGCCCTGCGGTAGCCACCATAAACAGATCCACAGCCTCCCTTTCCGAGCTGATCTTTTTGCTCGTATTTTGCCTCGAACTGATCTTTGGCTGAAAGCGAGGGACTCTCAGAATCAGACAGTCTGAGTCTCTTTGCTGGACTTTCTGATCCCTCACCATCTGGGGAGCGTGACCTCTTTGAGACTCTGATTGTCTCATCCAGGTTATCTCTGGAGACACTGCCTTCGTCTGAAACCCTAGACCGTTTTGTGGGAGGTTCGTGATGAAAAACAGCTTTCCTTTTGGCAGAGGACGATCCTTTCTCAGGAACCAAATATCTGTATTCTTTGTCTGGATTTTCAGATCCCTCACCATCAAAGGACATGGATTTCTTTGTGAATTTGTCAATTCCTATAATGTTCTGGTTGTTTTTAACGAGTCTCCCTTCATCAGAAACCTTAAACCTTTTTGTGGGAGGTCCAGGGTCTGAAACGGCTTTCCGTTTGGTTGCTGAAACTAAACCACGATTCTCTGACAAATGCGGTGGTTCCATGCTAATATAAGTCTCTGAATCTTTAACCAGAGCTGGAGAGTAGCTCTTGTGTGCAAAAGAATCTCCCATAATGCTAAATAACACGTAGACGATAAGTTGAAAAACTATCGAACAACGAGCAAACACGACTGTCTCTGACGGTGCGTCACTGAGAACTGAATGCTGATGATGGAATTGATGATGATGATGATGAAGATGATGATGTCATAAAGCAAAGTTCTAAAAGAGGAAAACTCAAGGGAAAGAGCAAAGACGAGGCTGATGCTGCTTTTTGGCGGCCCTTATTGCTCTCCACCCGAGGATTATATCCTTTTTTGTTTCTTCTGATCCGACCCAAGAAGTTCCAAAGACCAGATTTAAAAGTCAAGGTGATCGCTCCTTCCAGGTTGTTGCACCCTGGCTTTGGAATGAACTGCCTTTAACCTTATGTAGTATTGACAGTCTGGTAACCTTTAAAAAACAGCTGAAGACCCTTTTATTTAAAGCTGTTTTTACCAAAATGTTTTGTTTTCCTATTTTTTTACTCAACTTTGTAATCATTTTTATTGGTTTTATGATATTTTATAATTTTATGAGTTAGTTTTATTTGTATTTATTTCTGTTTCGTTTAAGATCATTATGATTTTATGACTTTATGATTTGTTTTGTTATTGATCTATGTGAAGCACGTTGTAATTCTCTGTCTGTGATGAATGCTAAATAAATAAAATGTACTTACTTACTTTACTATTATTCTTCCAATTACTTTTACAAGCGGTCTGATGAACCATGGCGAAACTATTAGCAAAAAACACTGAAAAAAATCATTTTCAGTGTGTGTATGTCTCAGTTTGCAAAATAATAAATAAATATGTAAACAATAATTTACTTACTGTATTTATTAATTATATGTAATGATAAGGTAACCCCAGTATCATTACACTTGTTCAAACGGCAGCGTGCACCCCTATGCATGTTACATCAGAACGACCAACTCGGCCGTGGGAAGTGTTCTATTGTGATATGTGGGTGATAAACCAAACATCACCCCAATATTATGATTCTAGGCTTCTATACCACTTGTCCACTGTCTTTTGCCAGCGGCAGGAACCCTTTTAAAAATGTCTTCAGGAATTTTCTAGTTACTTCTTCTTCCTCTTCCTCTTCACCAGAGAAATTACGTATATGTGTGTGTGTGTATATATATACGTTTTATAGAGGCTCAGATCAGTTTTAGATTGCTGATTAACTGCATTGTAGGTCCCCTACAAAAGAAGTGTGTTAGCTGGGTGTAGTTTCCCCTCCTTGTCTCGTTGTAGATCGCCCCCTGGGGCTGAGGACTCACCTCCAGCAGTGGTGCCCCCAGAAACTTTCCACAGTGGCAGCCAGATGGAGCCAATGAAAACTTTGGGGTGGAACACCAAATTGGTTCCTGCTGGTCCCTTTCTGTCTCAACAGAAACATCCAATAAAGTACTTTTTCTTTCTAAATGATGAGCCTAGCTAAATAAGGCATAGGCGATAAGTTGAAAACGATCAAACACGACTGTCTCTGTCGGTGTCTCACTCATTTGATGAACTGTAGGACAAAAGAACTCTATTCTGCTTTGATGTGATGACATCACAACACAGCATGATGACATCATAAAGAATCTGGGTATAGCAGGGCCATGTACACACTTTTTGTTGTAGCCAGGTCCTTTTCTCAATACTCGAGGACGCTAATACGTTCTTGTGTTTCTCAAATCCAGTCCACAGGACCCCCTGCTATACATGGTTTCCATATTGCCCTCTCAGTCACCGCACACACTTGACTTCAATGAATGGGTGATTAACAAGCATCTGCAGCACTTGATCTCTTCCTTCATGTAAATGTGTTTAAAACCATAAATGAATGAATACCTCATGTAATGTTTTATCTGTGTCACAATTTCAACCCCTCCTCTTTTATCCGGGCTTGGGACCGGCAGAAGTGACCCAGAGAGGGACACTCTGGCAGAGTTAGTTTTTTTTTTTTTTTTTTTTTTCAGTTGGATAACATTTTATTGTCCGTCTTTATTTAACTTAATTCAGTTTACTTATATATTACCAATTTGTTAAACAAATCCTCTCAAGGCACTTTAAAGTGCAAACACTCCAGTTGAAGCAAATTATTGAACAATTGATTGAGTTCATTATTCTGATTAGTTGAATGTCTCTATGTAAGGAAACCCAGTTGATTGCTGTAAAGTCACTGACTAGTCGAGTCAGTGACTTTACAGCCAGCGTGTAGCGACAGTGGAGAGGAAAACTCCCCTTTAATAGGAAGAAACCTCCAGCAGAACCTGGCTCAGTATGAGTGGCCGCCTGCCACGACCCACTGGGGTGCTTACCTGGTTGAACATGTTAGGGTTGTAGGGTACGTCCTAAACACAAAAGCTGAGTTAATCTGGAAGAAACAATCAGCAGTTATGATGTTTCAGTTTCCTATCTTAAACATGTTACACCTGCTTTCTACACCTGAAACCCTAGACCCTTTTGTGGGAGGTTCGTGATGAAAAACAGCTTTCCTTTTGGCAGAAGACGATCCATTCTCAGGAACCAAAAATCAGCATTCCTTGTCTGGAGTTTCAGATCTCTCACCATCAAAGGAAAGGATTCTCTTTGAGAAGTTGTCTATTTATACATTGTTAGGGTTGTTTGCGGAGAGTTTGCCTTCATCAGAAACCTTAAACCTTTTTGTGGGAGGTCCAGGGTCTTAAATGGCTTTCCATTTGGTTGCTGAAACTAAACCACGATTCTCTGACAAATGCGGTTGTTCTATGCTAATATAAGTCTCTGAATCTTTAACCAGAGCTGGAGAATTGGGTCCAGAGCTTTGAAGACTAGTTTCTGTTTTACAAAAGCCAAGGGTGACACTGGAGCTCCTTTAAGGTGGGACGCCACCCTGGGCTCAAACAGAAACAGCTCTTTAGGAATCTCTTACAGTCTGTAGAGAGATCCGTCCTGATTCTGAGTTTGCTATCGAGTAACTTTCTTGAGTCAAACAAACTTTCGTGGAGCATTTCATAGAGAACAACTCCCACCTGCCACACGGTTGCTGGTCCTGCCTCATAACTGCATTCAGAAATATACTCAGGAGGGGCGTGTTTCGCTGTGCCGTAGAACCAGCCGTCTTCATATTCTGTGTTGGTGAAACAACTCAGTCCAAAGTCAATCAGTCGCAGTCGCGGGATTTCTGATCCTGTTTCAATCAGAATATTTTTTGGTTTAATGTCTCTGTGGAAGATGTTGGTGTCCTCCAGATGTTTGACGGCATCAACCAGCTGTTTTATAATAGTTTTAGCCTGATTCTCCTGTAGGGGCTCTTTGTTATTTTCAATAAACTGTGAGAGGTCCACTGCAGGCACTGGTCTCTCCAACACTAGAATTTGTTCCTGGTTGAAGTCATACCAGTCCAGGAGGGAAATTGGGGCTGACTTCCCCACCGAATCAGCTGATTCTGTCTGGAGTTTTAGCATGGCGGCTACCTCAATGCTGAGCTGCTGGCCGTTCTCGTCCGTATCTGTCCAGACTACATTTTCCTTTGGTATATGTTTGATTGCCACAGGTAAATTGTCTGCCCTGCGGTAGCCACCATAAACAGATCCACAGCCTCCCTTTCCGAGCTGATCTTTTTGCTCGTATTTTGCCTCGAACTGATCTTTGGCTGAAAGCGAGGGACTCTCAGAATCAGACAGTCTGAGTCTCTTTGCTGGACTTCCAGATCCCTCACCATCTGGGGAGCGTGACCTCTTTGAGACTCTGATTGTCTCATCCAGGTTATCTCTGGAGACACTGCCTTCGTCTGAAACCCTAGACCGTTTTGTGGGAGGTTCGTGATGAAAAACAGCTTTCCTTTTGGCAGAGGACGATCCTTTCTCAGGAACCAAATATCTGCATTCTTTGTCTGGATTTTCAGATCCCTCACCATCAAAGGACATGGATTTCTTTGTGAATTTGTCAATTCCTATAATGTTCTGGTTGTTTTTAACGAGTCTCCCTTCATCAGAAACCTTAAACCTTTTTGTGGGAGGTCCAGGGTCTGAAACGGCTTTCCGTTTGGTTGCTGAAACTAAACCACGATTCTCTGACAAATGCGGTGGTTCCATGCTAATATAAGTCTCTGAATCTTTAACCAGAGCTGGAGAGTAGCTCTTGTGTGCAAAAGAATCTCCCATAATGCTAAATAACACGTAGACGATAAGTTGAAAAACTATCGAACAACGAGCAAACACGACTGTCTCTGACGGTGCGTCACTGAGAACTGAATGCTGATGATGGAATTGATGATGATGATGATGAAGATGATGATGTCATAAAGCAAAGTTCTAAAAGAGGAAAACTCAAGGGAAAGAGCAAAGACGAGGCTGATGCTGCTTTTTGGCGGCCCTTATTGCTCTCCACCCGAGGATTATATCCTTTTTTGTTTCTTCTGATCCGACCCAAGAAGTTCCAAAGACCGGATTTAAAAGTCAAGGTGATCGCTCCTTCCAGGTTGTTGCACCCTGGCTTTGGAATGAACTGCCTTTAACCTTATGTAGTAGTGACAGTCTGGTAACCTTTAAAAAACAGCTGAAGACCCTTTTATTTAAAGCTGTTTTTACCTAAATGTTTTGTTTTCCTATTTTTTTACTCAAATTTGTCATCATTTTTATTGGTTTTATGATATTTTATAATTTTATAAGTTTGTTTTATTTGTATTAATTTAGTTTTCGTTTAAGATCATTATGATTTTATGACTTTATGATTTGTTTTGTTGTTGATCTATGTGAAGCACGTTGTAATTCTCTGTCTGTGATGAATGCTAAATAAATAAAATGTACTTACTTACTTTACTATTATTCTTCCAATTACTTTTACAAGCGGTCTGATGAACCATGGCGAAACTATTAGCAAAAAACACTGAAAAAAATCATTTTCAGTGTGTGTACGTCTCAGTTTGCAAAATAATAAATAAATATGTAAACAATAATTTACTTACTGTATTTATTAATTGTATGTAATGATAAGGTAACCCCAGTATCATTACACTTGTTCAAACGGCAGCGTGCACCCCTATGCATGTTACATCAGAACGACCAACTCGGCCGTGGGAAGTGTTCTATTGTGATATGTGGGTGATAAACCAAACATCACCCCAATATTATGATTCTAGGCTTCTATACCACTTGTCCACTGTCTTTTGCCAGCGGCAGGAACCCTTTTAAAAATGTCTTCAGGAATTTTCTAGTTACTTCTTCTTCCTCTTCCTCTTCACCAGAGAAATTACGTATATGTGTGTGTGTGTATATATATACGTTTTATAGAGGCTCAGATCAGTTTTAGATTGCTGATTAACTGCATTGTAGGTCCCCTACAAAAGAAGTGTGTTAGCTGGGTGTAGTTTCCCCTCCTTGTCTCGTTGTAGATCGCCCCCTGGGGCTGAGGACTCACCTCCAGCAGTGGTGCCCCCAGAAACTTTCCACAGTGGCAGCCAGATGGAGCCAATGAAAACTTTGGGGTGGAACACCAAATTGGTTCCTGCTGGTCCCTTTCTGTCTCAACAGAAACATCCAATAAAGTACTTTTTCTTTCTAAATGATGAGCCTAGCTAAATAAGGCATAGGCGATAAGTTGAAAACGATCAAACACGACTGTCTCTGTCGGTGTCTCACTCATTTGATGAACTGTAGGACAAAAGAACTCTATTCTGCTTTGATGTGATGACATCACAACACAGCATGATGACATCATAAAGAATCTGGGTATAGCAGGGCCATGTACACACTTTTTGTTGTAGCCAGGTCCTTTTCTCAATACTCGAGGACGCTAATACGTTCTTGTGTTTCTCAAATCCAGTCCACAGGACCCCCTGCTATACATGGTTTCCATATTGCCCTCTCAGTCACCGCACACACTTGACTTCAATGAATGGGTGATTAACAAGCATCTGCAGCACTTGATCTCTTCCTTCATGTAAATGTGTTTAAAACCATAAATGAATGAATACCTCATGTAATGTTTTATCTGTGTCACAATTTCAACCCCTCCTCTTTTATCCGGGCTTGGGACCGGCAGAAGTGACCCAGAGAGGGACACTCTGGCAGAGTTAGTTTTTTTTTTTTTGTTTTTTTTCAGTTGGATAACATTTTATTGTCCGTCTTTATTTAACTTAATTCAGTTTACTTATATATTACCAATTTGTTAAACAAATCCTCTCAAGGCACTTTAAAGTGCAAACACTCCAGTTGAAGCAAATTATTGAACAATTGATTGAGTTCATTATTCTGATTAGTTGAATGTCTCTATGTAAGGAAACCCAGTTGATTGCTGTAAAGTCACTGACTAGTCGAGTCAGTGACTTTACAGCCAGCGTGTAGCGACAGTGGAGAGGAAAACTCCCCTTTAATAGGAAGAAACCTCCAGCAGAACCTGGCTCAGTATGAGTGGCCGCCTGCCACGACCCACTGGGGTGCTTACCTGGTTGAACATGTTAGGGTTGTAGGGTACGTCCTAAACACAAAAGTTGAGTTAATCTGGAAGAAACAATCAGCAGTTATGATGTTTCAGTTTCCTATCTTAAACATGTTACACCTGCTTTCTACACCTGAAACCCTAGACCCTTTTGTGGGAGGTTCGTGATGAAAAACAGCTTTCCTTTTGGCAGAAGACGATCCATTCTCAGGAACCAAAAATCAGCATTCCTTGTCTGGAGTTTCAGATCTCTCACCATCAAAGGAATGGATTCTCTTTGAGAAGTTGTCTATTTATACATTGTTAGGGTTGTTTGCGGAGAGTTTGCCTTCATCAGAAACCTTAAACCTTTTTGTGGGAGGTCCAGGGTCTTAAATGGCTTTCCATTTGGTTGCTGAAACTAAACCACGATTCTCTGACAAATGCGGTTGTTCTATGCTAATATAAGTCTCTGAATCTTTAACCAGAGCTGGAGAATTGGGTCCAGAGCTTTGAAGACTAGTTTCTGTTTTACAAAAGCCAAGGGTGACACTGGAGCTCCTTTAAGGTGGGACGCCACCCTGGGCTCAAACAGAAACAGCTCTTTAGGAATCTCTTACAGTCTGTAGAGAGATCCGTCCTGATTCTGAGTTTGCTATCGAGTAACTTTCTTGAGTCAAACAAACTTTCGTGGAGCATTTCATAGAGAACAACTCCCACCTGCCACACGGTTGCTGGTCCTGCCTCATAACTGCATTCAGAAATATACTCAGGAGGGGCGTGTTTCGCTGTGCCGTAGAACCAGCCGTCTTCATATTCTGTGTTGGTGAAACAACTCAGTCCAAAGTCAATCAGTCGCAGTCGCGGGATTTCTGATCCTGTTTCAATCAGAATATTTTTTGGTTTAATGTCTCTGTGGAAGATGTTGGTGTCCTCCAGATGTTTGACGGCATCAACCAGCTGTTTTATAATAGTTTTAGCCTGATTCTCCTGTAGGGGCTCTTTGTTATTTTCAATAAACTGTGAGAGGTCCACTGCAGGCACTGGTCTCTCCAACACTAGAATTTGTTCCTGGTTGAAGTCATACCAGTCCAGGAGGGAAATTGGGGCTGACTTCCCCACCGAATCAGCTGATTCTGTCTGGAGTTTTAGCATGGCGGCTACCTCAATGCTGAGCTGCTGGCCGTTCTCGTCCGTATCTGTCCAGACTACATTTTCCTTTGGTATATGTTTGATTGCCACAGGTAAATTGTCTGCCCTGCGGTAGCCACCATAAACAGATCCACAGCCTCCCTTTCCGAGCTGATCTTTTTGCTCGTATTTTGCCTCGAACTGATCTTTGGCTGAAAGCGAGGGACTCTCAGAATCAGACAGTCTGAGTCTCTTTGCTGGACTTTCTGATCCCTCACCATCTGGGGAGCGTGACCTCTTTGAGACTCTGATTGTCTCATCCAGGTTATCTCTGGAGACACTGCCTTCGTCTGAAACCCTAGACCGTTTTGTGGGAGGTTCGTGATGAAAAACAGCTTTCCTTTTGGCAGAGGACGATCCTTTCTCAGGAACCAAATATCTGTATTCTTTGTCTGGATTTTCAGATCCCTCACCATCAAAGGACATGGATTTCTTTGTGAATTTGTCAATTCCTATAATGTTCTGGTTGTTTTTAACGAGTCTCCCTTCATCAGAAACCTTAAACCTTTTTGTGGGAGGTCCAGGGTCTGAAACGGCTTTCCGTTTGGTTGCTGAAACTAAACCACGATTCTCTGACAAATGCGGTGGTTCCATGCTAATATAAGTCTCTGAATCTTTAACCAGAGCTGGAGAGTAGCTCTTGTGTGCAAAAGAATCTCCCATAATGCTAAATAACACGTAGACGATAAGTTGAAAAACTATCGAACAACGAGCAAACACGACTGTCTCTGACGGTGCGTCACTGAGAACTGAATGCTGATGATGGAATTGATGATGATGATGATGAAGATGATGATGTCATAAAGCAAAGTTCTAAAAGAGGAAAACTCAAGGGAAAGAGCAAAGACGAGGCTGATGCTGCTTTTTGGCGGCCCTTATTGCTCTCCACCCGAGGATTATATCCTTTTTTGTTTCTTCTGATCCGACCCAAGAAGTTCCAAAGACCGGATTTAAAAGTCAAGGTGATCGCTCCTTCCAGGTTGTTGCACCCTGGCTTTGGAATGAACTGCCTTTAACCTTATGTAGTAGTGACAGTCTGGTAACCTTTAAAAAACAGCTGAAGACCCTTTTATTTAAAGCTGTTTTTACCTAAATGTTTTGTTTTCCTATTTTTTTACTCAAATTTGTCATCATTTTTATTGGTTTTATGATATTTTATAATTTTATAAGTTTGTTTTATTTGTATTAATTTAGTTTTCGTTTAAGATCATTACGATTTTATGACTTTATGATTTGTTTTGTTGTTGATCTATGTGAAGCACGTTGTAATTCTCTGTCTGTGATGAATGCTAAATAAATAAAATGTACTTACTTACTTTACTATTATTCTTCCAATTACTTTTACAAGCGGTCTGATGAACCATGGCGAAACTATTAGCAAAAAACACTGAAAAAAATCATTTTCAGTGTGTGTACGTCTCAGTTTGCAAAATAATAAATAAATATGTAAACAATAATTTACTTACTGTATTTATTAATTGTATGTAATGATAAGGTAACCCCAGTATCATTACACTTGTTCAAACGGCAGCGTGCACCCCTATGCATGTTACATCAGAACGACCAACTCGGCCGTGGGAAGTGTTCTATTGTGATATGTGGGTGATAAACCAAACATCACCCCAATATTATGATTCTAGGCTTCTATACCACTTGTCCACTGTCTTTTGCCAGCGGCAGGAACCCTTTTAAAAATGTCTTCAGGAATTTTCTAGTTACTTCTTCTTCCTCTTCCTCTTCACCAGAGAAATTACGTATATGTGTGTGTGTGTATATATATACGTTTTATAGAGGCTCAGATCAGTTTTAGATTGCTGATTAACTGCATTGTAGGTCCCCTACAAAAGAAGTGTGTTAGCTGGGTGTAGTTTCCCCTCCTTGTCTCGTTGTAGATCGCCCCCTGGGGCTGAGGACTCACCTCCAGCAGTGGTGCCCCCAGAAACTTTCCACAGTGGCAGCCAGATGGAGCCAATGAAAACTTTGGGGTGGAACACCAAATTGGTTCCTGCTGGTCCCTTTCTGTCTCAACAGAAACATCCAATAAAGTACTTTTTCTTTCTAAATGATGAGCCTAGCTAAATAAGGCATAGGCGATAAGTTGAAAACGATCAAACACGACTGTCTCTGTCGGTGTCTCACTCATTTGATGAACTGTAGGACAAAAGAACTCTATTCTGCTTTGATGTGATGACATCACAACACAGCATGATGACATCATAAAGAATCTGGGTATAGCAGGGCCATGTACACACTTTTTGTTGTAGCCAGGTCCTTTTCTCAATACTCGAGGACGCTAATACGTTCTTGTGTTTCTCAAATCCAGTCCACAGGACCCCCTGCTATACATGGTTTCCATATTGCCCTCTCAGTCACCACACACACTTGACTTCAATGAATGGGTGATTAACAAGCATCTGCAGCACTTGATCTCTTCCTTCATGTAAATGTGTTTAAAACCATAAATGAATGAATACCTCATGTAATGTTTTATCTGTGTCACAATTTCAACCCCTCCTCTTTTATCCGGGCTTGGGACCGGCAGAAGTGACCCAGAGAGGGACACTCTGGCAGAGTTAGTTTTTTTTTTTTTTTTTTTTTCAGTTGGATAACATTTTATTGTCCGTCTTTATTTAACTTAATTCAGTTTACTTATATATTACCAATTTGTTAAACAAATCCTCTCAAGGCACTTTAAAGTGCAAACACTCCAGTTGAAGCAAATTATTGAACAATTGATTGAGTTCATTATTCTGATTAGTTGAATGTCTCTATGTAAGGAAACCCAGTTGATTGCTGTAAAGTCACTGACTAGTCGAGTCAGTGACTTTACAGCAAGCGTGTAGCGACAGTGGAGAGGAAAACTCCCCTTTAATAGGAAGAAACCTCCAGCAGAACCTGGCTCAGTATGAGTGGCCGCCTGCCACGACCCACTGGGGTGCTTACCTGGTTGAACATGTTAGGGTTGTAGGGTACGTCCTAAACACAAAAGCTGAGTTAATCTGGAAGAAACAATCAGCAGTTATGATGTTTCAGTTTCCTATCTTAAACATGTTACACCTGCTTTCTACACCTGAAACCCTAGACCCTTTTGTGGGAGGTTCGTGATGAAAAACAGCTTTCCTTTTGGCAGAAGACGATCCATTCTCAGGAACCAAAAATCAGCATTCCTTGTCTGGAGTTTCAGATCTCTCACCATCAAAGGAAAGGATTCTCTTTGAGAAGTTGTCTATTTATACATTGTTAGGGTTGTTTGCGGAGAGTTTGCCTTCATCAGAAACCTTAAACCTTTTTGTGGGAGGTCCAGGGTCTTAAATGGCTTTCCATTTGGTTGCTGAAACTAAACCACGATTCTCTGACAAATGCGGTTGTTCTATGCTAATATAAGTCTCTGAATCTTTAACCAGAGCTGGAGAATTGGGTCCAGAGCTTTGAAGACTAGTTTCTGTTTTACAAAAGCCAAGGGTGACACTGGAGCTCCTTTAAGGTGGGACGCCACCCTGGGCTCAAACAGAAACAGCTCTTTAGGAATCTCTTACAGTCTGTAGAGAGATCCGTCCTGATTCTGAGTTTGCTATCGAGTAACTTTCTTGAGTCAAACAAACTTTCGTGGAGCATTTCATAGAGAACAACTCCCACCTGCCACACGGTTGCTGGTCCTGCCTCATAACTGCATTCAGAAATATACTCAGGAGGGGCGTGTTTCGCTGTGCCGTAGAACCAGCCGTCTTCATATTCTGTGTTGGTGAAACAACTCAGTCCAAAGTCAATCAGTCGCAGTCGCGGGATTTCTGATCCTGTTTCAATCAGAATATTTTTTGGTTTAATGTCTCTGTGGAAGATGTTGGTGTCCTCCAGATGTTTGACGGCATCAACCAGCTGTTTTATAATAGTTTTAGCCTGATTCTCCTGTAGGGGCTCTTTGTTATTTTCAATAAACTGTGAGAGGTCCACTGCAGGCACTGGTCTCTCCAACACTAGAATTTGTTCCTGGTTGAAGTCATACCAGTCCAGGAGGGAAATTGGGGCTGACTTCCCCACCGAATCAGCTGATTCTGTCTGGAGTTTTAGCATGGCGGCTACCTCAATGCTGAGCTGCTGGCCGTTCTCGTCCGTATCTGTCCAGACTACATTTTCCTTTGGTATATGTTTGATTGCCACAGGTAAATTGTCTGCCCTGCGGTAGCCACCATAAACAGATCCACAGCCTCCCTTTCCGAGCTGATCTTTTTGCTCGTATTTTGCCTCGAACTGATCTTTGGCTGAAAGCGAGGGACTCTCAGAATCAGACAGTCTGAGTCTCTTTGCTGGACTTTCTGATCCCTCACCATCTGGGGAGCGTGACCTCTTTGAGACTCTGATTGTCTCATCCAGGTTATCTCTGGAGACACTGCCTTCGTCTGAAACCCTAGACCGTTTTGTGGGAGGTTCGTGATGAAAAACAGCTTTCCTTTTGGCAGAGGACGATCCTTTCTCAGGAACCAAATATCTGCATTCCTTGTCTGGATTTTCAGATCCCTCACCATCAAAGGACATGGATTTCTTTGTGAATTTGTCAATTCCTATAATGGTCTGGTTGTTTTTAACGAGTCTCCCTTCATCAGAAACCTTAAACCTTTTTGTGGGAGGTCCAGGGTCTGAAACGGCTTTCCGTTTGGTTGCTGAAACTAAACCACGATTCTCTGACAAATGCGGTGGTTCCATGCTAATATAAGTCTCTGAATCTTTAACCAGAGCTGGAGAGTAGCTCTTGTGTGCAAAAGAATCTCCCATAATGCTAAATAACACGTAGACGATAAGTTGAAAAACTATCGAACAACGAGCAAACACGACTGTCTCTGACGGTGCGTCACTGAGAACTGAATGCTGATGATGGAATTGATGATGATGATGATGATGAAGATGATGATGTCATAAAGCAAAGTTCTAAAAGAGGAAAACTCAAGGGAAAGAGCAAAGACGAGGCTGATGCTGCTTTTTGGCGGCCCTTATTGCTCTCCACCCGAGGATTATATCCTTTTTTGTTTCTTCTGATCCGACCCAAGAAGTTCCAAAGACCAGATTTAAAAGTCAAGGTGATCGCTCCTTCCAGGTTGTTGCACCCTGGCTTTGGAATGAACTGCCTTTAACCTTATGTAGTATTGACAGTCTGGTAACCTTTAAAAAACAGCTGAAGACCCTTTTATTTAAAGCTGTTTTTACCAAAATGTTTTGTTTTCCTATTTTTTTACTCAACTTTGTAATCATTTTTATTGGTTTTATGATATTTTATAATTTTATGAGTTAGTTTTATTTGTATTTATTTCTGTTTCGTTTAAGATCATTATGATTTTATGACTTTATGATTTGTTTTGTTATTGATCTATGTGAAGCACGTTGTAATTCTCTGTCTGTGATGAATGCTAAATAAATAAAATGTACTTACTTACTTTACTATTATTCTTCCAATTACTTTTACAAGCGGTCTGATGAACCATGGCGAAACTATTAGCAAAAAACACTGAAAAAAAATCATTTTCAGTGTGTGTATGTCTCAGTTTGCCAAATAATAACTAAACATGTATAGCACCCATGAAATGGATTGCCACATCTAAATCTTGATTATATATATATATATATATATATATATATATATATATATATATATATATATATATATATATATATATTTTTTTTTTTTTTTCATTTTATTTGTCTTTTAAACGCTTATGTTTTATTTATGGACACATTAAGTCAGAGTGGAACCTTTGTTTGTGGATTTGTTGTTCCGGGGACTGATAAAGGGATGCCTGCGCCTGACGTTTCCTCAGAGGTGAACTGGAAGGAAACAAGAGGCATTCTGTCTTCAGTACTCTGCTTTCGCCTGCTTTATACCACTCTTAAAAGTTGTTTTATTAAGCTGGTAGCAATATATATATATATGTCAGTCCCACGTTGTTATGCTGTAGTTAAATTGAACAAAAAAAAATTATTAATATGTAACGGTTTCACACGCGGCAGCCATTTTAGGTCAAATGGCCGGTAAACTAAACAAACGGCTGTTACTGTGACAACGGTTTTACGTGTGTCCGCTATTATGTTGAAACGGGCAGTGGCGGTTCTACATGGAATTACTCCCTGGGCGAGGAACCCTTTGAGCAACACCCCCCACCCCACCCCACCTGCATGCACACACGTATGTTTTCTACAAACAGACATGTTTTATTAGAACAACTATTGAACACTCATTTTTCTAAGCCGCACATATTTACATTAAAGAGCAATTCACTCCAAAAATTTTTTTCCTGATAAACAATATAAATGAATGTCTGATCGTGCTGCAGACACTTGTAGTCAATAATTTGGCACTTTAGTGCATCTTAGTTAAAATTTAAATGTTCTGCCTAAAACTGTCAGTGTTCCACCGTCGTCAGGTAAAAACTCAGCACTGCATTTGAATTTAAATCTGCCGTCGCTATTGGCTAAGAGGTACACTATGATGTTAGATGGTACATTATGATGTTACAATGTCGTGAGTGTGTGTATTCGTTAGTGGCTCTACCCTCTCGGTCTGCTAAGCAACAGCATTTGTTGCATTTTTCAAACAGGAAGTGGGAGTTAAGTAAGAATCTGGTAGGGGGTGACTTGCTATGAAGTTGTCAGAAGGTAAAGCAATATACATTATATACTGTATAAAAATATATAGAATCAAATATACAAAAACAAACAATAACTAAATATTAAGAATATATGAATATTATATATAATAAATATTCTAAATAGCAAAAAAATTTCACACATAACAAACTAAAGATAATCACTACAGCATTGCACTTAGAACAGAAAACACAAACTAAAATTACAACCTAACCTTGATGTAAAGTCATCAATAATGTCATCATATGAAATCTGCTCCCCTAATGAGTGATTGATAATCAGAGTCAGGTTAGTGAGCCGCCCCTGAAACATAGTTGACCTCAGGTATGACTTGATCAAGTTTTGAAAAGCTCCTCTCAGCTTGAGCCACAGTGACTGGCAGAACAGTCCAAATGTTGGGGTAGATCTCCAATAGATCTTTATCATGATCCATAATATTTTAGAATTGCCTCTGAAATTGTAATTTAAACTGACATAAAAAAACTGTAGACTACCAAAAATGCCAACTTTTACAGAACAAATCATGTAAAAATAATCAGTGCAGCCATCTGCAATAAATAAACAGGATAGTTAGTGGTGACTGGGCAGTTTTCTTCTGCTTGTATAGTTGTTTTATTTATTATTATGTGAACATGATCAACATGTGTTTGTTGTTGTTCAGGCAGGCCACAGGCTGCAGCGAGCATTTAACAAGTCCTTGTTTGAATCAGTAAAAAACGAAGGATTTTTTTCAAACCATTTGAATATTCATTTCAATATTTCAGCCCTATTAGATCTGTTAGCAATTAGCTGACCGAATTTAACCGTTAAAATCACAGTTAACTGGTTAAATAAATTGAAAACATGCATCATGAGAGCGTACATACCTTTATCTTTCTCCTCTTTTCATTCCTGAATCGGGCACCTGGTGGTTTTAGCCTTTTTATGTTCATCTCTTCTGTTTGGCTCTTGACTCAGTAAATTTCCTTTAGTCAGGACAAAACAATTTGACCTTGATGGGGGGGAGGACCACAAAATTGTTTTGTTTTTCCTTTTTTTATTCGGCCATTTCACACAATTCAGGAAAACCTGAAAGAATGATAAGCCTGTGTTTTTGATATTATGAATGAAATGTGCGTTAAATGGAAGAACATCATAGCCATGTTAATACAGTTGATTCAGCCCCCTACCTGCTCATTTCATTTGGGAAAGACCCAGAGGTGAATTCCCCCGCCGCACCCCTCCCCTTCCTCTTCTTCATACACACACTGTTCACGTGAACGTCCTCAGTCAGCAGGAGCGCCTGCAGCTGCAGGGAGCGCCAACTTGCTGTTTCCAATCCAGACTCTGTGATATGACAGATAATAGAAAACCTCGGTGTGGCGCAGATTTCTTTCTTTTTTATTTTTTACTCAGCGCTTCTGCGCCCCTTTTGTGTCATGAAAAAATGCCGCCCTGGGCAACTGCCCTGTCTGTCCGTGCCTAAAACTGCTACTGGAAACGGGAGTCTCCAGGCGTATCGATGACGACTTGGGCCGAACCCATGAACTGGAGCACTCTGCCATCAGGTGCATGAGAGTGATCCTCTACTGTTACATGAGGCAGGCAGATAAGGTGAGTCTGTAGCATTTCAGCGGCTAAATGAAGGTTAGCATTAGAGCATCCGGCAGTTAATCACTGTATCACATTTAAAATGTGTGTTCCTTCCTAGGAACACCTTCTGCACCTGAACAGCTAACACATCTCAATCTTTTCTATTAGAGTAGATGACACCAGTCTATCTGGACTGAACTGATGTTTTTGAGCAAAACAGCGGTAAAAATGGCTGTTTGTCCTCATTATCAAAAGTGTTACCCCCACCCCCACCCCCCCACACACACATACACACACATGCGGTTTAGACACGGCGCTCATGCAGATGTCTCTTTCTGTTCCGACACTGCGACATGCAATATTTTTTATTTATTAAGCCTGCAGTTTATTTTTACTCAGTAACGGATATGATTTAAAATGTAGAGAATTACAATTCTTTTTTAAAAACGTACTCAAGTAAAAGTAAAAGTACAGATTTTAAATCAACTTAAAAAATATAGATACACAAAAAAGCTACTCAATTACAGTAACTTGAGTAAATGTAATTCATTACTTTCCACCTCTGGTTGCTACAATTAAAATGATGATCTTACCCAGAATAAATTACTTATTTTCATTTATCCCAAACAAGCCACCATCTGACTGGTTTAGATCTCTGGACTCCTCAATCACTATTTTCCTTTGGCTGGATAAACCTCCACGAATTAGCTTAAAATTGCTTCAGAAGACCAAAGAGAGGAGGACTGGATCTACCCAACTTTTATCATTATTTCTTAGCCAACAGGCTGCAATATATACCAAGATGGTTGCAAGATAGCCCACTAGATGTGTCCTGGTTAGCAGAGGTGGAAAGTAACGAATTACATTTACTCACATTACTGTAATTGAGTAGCTTTTTTGTATATTTATACTTTTTAAGTTGTTTTTAAAAGCTGTACTTTTACTTTTACTTGAGTAAGTTTTTTAAAAAGAATTGTAATTCGCTACATTTTAAATCATATCTGTTACTGAGTAAAAATAATTACAGGCTTAATAAATTAAAAATATTACGTGTAGCAGCGTTGGAACGGAAAGAGACACCTGCATGAGCGCCACGTCTAAACCGTGGGGGGGGGGGGGGGGGGGGTACACTTTTGCTCAAAGACATCAGTTCAGTTCCTCAACTCGCTGTTTACCTCCTCTCTCCCTCCTCTCCTGTGGGTTGGATGACATCCCGCAACTTCGCGCACCGGTGTGACGTCATCAGAATTCTGCTCGGTTCGGTAGCCGGACTCGGTTCCGTGTTTGAAATGCGTTTCCCTACCGCTCCGCACGGCAGTGGCAAAATAACGTTTAGCGCTCATAACAAGCGGATTCTCAGTGCTTTGCTCATAAAACAGAAGACCTGCAGGCCTCTGTGAGTTAAAACATCCTGATACTGTTCAGGTGTAAACATTGTGCTCCATCCCTGTGTCTGAACTCAGAAGATGCTTCTTGATGCCACAGATGTGTGATGATTTAGCTTGTTTCTTTATTTTACTCCAGAATAAGAGATTAAAGTATTACAAAAGCAGTTCAGTGTAGTTAAATTAGTCATTCAAATGATTCTAACATGCTGCAGTGTGTGTGCGTGCGCGTGCTTGCGTGTGCATGTGCGTGCGTGCATGTGTGTGTGTTACACATGTAGGACTGCATGAGACAGCGTGGTTTCATCAAATCCATGCATCTTATTTCTTGGCTGAAGTAATGGCTCAGGAAAATAACTTCTATTTCATAAATAATGACGTCTCAATAGTGTTTATGAAAATATTTGATCTTATATTGAACCTATCTTTGGTCTGGGAGGTGTAACTTATCATGATACAAGCCTTTTAAAACATGTTAAAGTATTACAAGAGGAGATAAATGCATGAATTTAAAGTTCTTGTTTGGAGACCAACCTTCACAGTTTGGAGGCTCATGCTGGTGAGGAGACACCGTTAGTTCTAGTAACACCTGGGCTCCCAAGGCCTGTTCTGACAGGATGGACGTTACGGGACCCTTAAGGATTCCAGTCGGATGATTGGAGGATTATTTAGGAGGATTGGAATGAACAAACTGATTTCAGTGGTGAAGGGTTAAATGAGTGAGTGAACCCACTACCAAGGATGAATTCTGCTAACATTAAAAATCAGCTGCTCTAAATAAGCATGAAGGTCAGAGAGGAGCTCTAGGATGGACATGGATAAAGGAACTGTAATGTAGAGGTAAAGTAGGGCAGGGCCAACGTTAGCAGCTTTCATACGGTCCATCTGAAATGTTTGACTGCATTTA